TCATAACTTTGCACACGGTAAAGAAGTGGGGCTCATTTGAATTAATGGAAACAAAGGGAAGTAGCATTCCTTCCAGGAAAGGGACTGGAATGAACTAATGAATTGCTATTACCCAATTATTCCACCTGCCCTCTCTCTGCCTAGATTACCACACCTACCCATCTGGTTTGCCCATCCCTCCCAATAACCCCCTCTCCCACTAACCCCACTCCTGCTTACCCCGCCTTGTCTGGTCCCACCCCACTGGCTCCATCTGTCCGGTCCAGTCCCAGACTCAACACTAGACTCAACCTCCATTCGCTCCAACCGGCTCGGCCCCGCCCCGTACCAAGGAGTCCTATTTGCTCCACCTGGCCACTCCCGCCCGCCCACCTGCTCCCTCGGGCCCCACTACTCCCCGCCGCCCCACCCCACTTGCTCTATCTGGCCACGCCCACCGGTCCACTTGCTCCTGGTCTCACTCGCTCCACCTGGCCACGCCTACCACCTGCTCCCTCGGGCTCCGCCCCACCCCGCCCCACTTGCTGTAGCCAGCCGCACCCACCCACCCACTTGCTGCTTCAGGCTCCGCCCCGCCCTACTTGCTCCACCCGGCCACGCCCAGCCGCCCCATTGGCTCCACCCGGCCACGCCCAGCCGCCCCATTGGCTCCACCCGGCCACGCCCGCCCCGCCCCGCGCGGCCCGGCGCGGCCCGCTCACCTGTATGCCCAGGGCGACACGCTACGCAGGTTGGTGGGCGTCTGGAAGCGGCGGTCGGCGGGCCTGCCCCCTGCCGGGCAGCTCGCGTTGCGCGCCTGCTCGCGCGGCCCCAGCTGCAGCGTGTGGTGGAAGGCGCTGAGCACGCCGGCCGCCAGGCGCCCGTACAGCTGCTCCAGGAGCTCCTCAGGCCGGTCCGCGCAGCCTCGCGGCCGCGTCGGACGCCTGCCCGCCCTCGGCGCGCCCGCGGCCCGGCCCGGCGCGAGCGCCAGCAGGAAGCCGGCCACGAACATCCAGACCTGCGGGAAAGGCCGCCCTCAGCGCCAGAGCCCGCCGAGAAGCCCGCCCGCCCGCCCGCGCTCCGCCCCTCCCCGCCCCGGCCGCCCCGAGCCCCGCGGGCGCCTCCCGCAGCGCCGCCGACCGCGAGGCCCTCCGGGAGTATGGGTGCCGCGCGGACGGGCCCCCGAGCGCCGTCCCCGCCGGCCCGCTGCCCGCGGGGGGCCCGCGGCCCCGCCCGCCCCCGGCCCGCGCGCCCCCGGCCGCCGCCGCCGCCGCCGCCCCGGGCCGGAGCCCGCTCGGGGGGCGGGTGCGGGGCACGCGTGCACGTGTGCGTGTGTCTGCCGGGCTGCTGCGCGGCGGGCTGCGAGTGCCTGTGACCCGACGCCGCCCCCGCTCACCCCCGCGCGCGCCATCCCGACCCTCCGGCCGGCCGGCCTGCTTGGAGCCCGCGCCAGGCCAGCGAACGCCCGGACCGCCGCCGCCCCGCAGACTCCCCCCCTCCCCGCCACCGCGCCCCGCCTCGTCATCCGCCCGCCCCCGGCGCCCGGGATCTGACGCCCCGCACGAAGCCCCCCGCGGCACCCGAGGACGCAGACGCCGCTCACCCCGGACACCCTGGGCTCGGCACGCGCTGCTCCCCAGTCGGTCCTTACCAGCGTCCCCAACATCGCGTCCCCCACCGCGTCCAAATGAGATCAGTGTTATGAGCGGTTCTTTAGCTGAATAAATAAAAGGGGGGGTCACACAAACGGGGGGCTCCGAGCTGCGGGATCCTGCGTAGCCCCGCGTGGAGCGCTGGTCGGGGTTGCGCCTGCAGGAGTGGATGTGGCAGCGCCCGCCCGGACGGCGCCGTCCCCGCTGGCCGGCCTGAGGAGGTGGTGACCGCTGCCCTTGGGAAGGGCCGACGGTGGGCAGAGCCGACCGCGGAGCTTCTTCAGGAGTTAAAGCCATCTAGGGAAGGACTGAAAGCCTACCATATTCCCCTTCCCCTTCTGAGATTCCGGAGGTGGAAGAGAGAGCTAATTTTTTTTTTTTTTAAAAAAAGTTTGAT